GCATGTAGAGCTTGGAGAATGTCATTTCTGTTTCAAGAAATGAGCCAAAGCAATTGAGAAGGAAACTTGTGTTTGGGGGCCTTGACTATTTATATGAGAAAGGGACTTAGTTTGAAGCATGAGTTAACTGTTTTGGGAGAGATATGACCTTTTGCAGGTGAGCCATAGTGATGTGCTGAACCATTGGACTATTTTGCCAAATGCACTTAAAGCTTTGAGAATGTAATTTCTGTTTCAAGAAATGAGCCAAACCAATCGAGAAAAACTGTAAATGCGACGCACGAAGGCGTAATGAGAGTTTACTCAATTTGCCATGGCAGAAGAGAGTAGCAGCGTCAGACAGCTAAACTTCTCCCAGGAGGAAACTGATGCTTTGGTCCGAGAGGTCCAAGCTCGCAGTGTTCGAATATACAGAACTGCGAGCAGACCTCCATGGGCTGATGATACAAAGGTAGCCTGGGAGGAGGTCACCACAATTGTAAATCAGTGTTTCGTTTCTCTCATGCGCATGCGTGCGCTCTCTCTTTCTCTCTCACAATTTCACTCTGTTTCTTTTCTTTTGACTTTTCTAAGATGGCAGATGCTAAATATATACTCCCTATCTGATGCTGTGGCTGTTTGTGGTTGGCTGAGAGGGATGTGAACTAATTAGTTTGCAGCTGTGTTAATCAAGTTGGGTTTCCATTACGCGTGCCAAACGTGCCAAAAGGTGCCAATCCCCTTTGATCTGACATCAGATGTGATGGGACAGTCGATATAGAGATACATTTATGTGCTGATTGCAGATAGTTGCATTGAATAGTGGTTTTGTGGCTATTTATTGCATTGTTAATGTGCCTGACATTCTGGAAACCTGCCTGTGAGGTTTTGGTGACGTGTGCGCACTGTCCGCCGGTCAGCCAAACTTGCTGACTAAAAGCTGGCGAGCTTTTAGCACACCTTCGGCGAAGCCTTTTGGCACGAAACTGTCACTGCGCCAAGCTGGATCTGTCAACACCTCCCCCTGCTGCGCCGCCACACCCATCTCAGTGCACCTCGGTCTGCCAAACTACCAAACTGAGCGCGCCTTGAGTTGCGCTGCTCGAAACTAGCTCTGCGCGGAGTTCACCATCCTGCGCCGCGCCGGGAAACTAGAGCCCTAAAAGTTACCTAAATGTCATGAATGTTAAAACGGTAACGCTTTAGATTACAGCCTGCAATTTACACCGTAACTATCGGGTAGTTACGGTGTAATCTGTTGTACTAACGGTGTACCAGTGTAGTACGTACCAGTACATATATGTAGGTACAGGGGAACAAGATGTTAAGTTATGGAATAAGGGGCTAACAATTAGTAAATTTACAGAGAATTTATATTATAGGTATTTTTAACTACTGGGTACCTATTCTATAATAACAGGGTATGTGCGACCTGCTGATCAATAATATGGACGTTTGGGGGGAATTTACAGAGAACTTATACTTTAACTACTGGGTACCTATTCTATTATAACAGGGTATGTGTGACCTATATTGATCAATAATATGGACGTTTGGGGGGAATTTACAGAGAACTTATACAGTAGGTATTTTTAACTACTGGGTACCTATTCTATAATAACAGGGTATGTGCGACCTGCTGATCAATAATATGGACGTTTGGGGGGAATTTACAGAGAACTTATACTTTAACTACTGGGTACCTATTCTATTATAACAGGGTATGTGTGACCTATATTGATCAATAATATGGACGTTTGGGGGGAATTTACAGAGAACTTATACAGTAGGTATTTTTAACTACTGGGTACCTATTCTATAATAACAGGGTATGTGCGACCTGCTGATCAATAATATGGACGTTTGGGGGGAATTTACAGAGAACTTATACTTTAACTACTGGGTACCTATTCTATTATAACAGGGTATGTGTGACCTATATTGATCAATAATATGGACGTTTGGGGGGAATTTACAGAGAACTTATACAGTAGGTATTTTTAACTACTGGGTACCTATTCTATAATAACAGGGTATGTGCGACCTGCTGATCAATAATATGGACGTTTGGGGGGAATTTACAGAGAACTTATACTTTAACTACTGGGTACCTATTCTATTATAACAGGGTATGTGTGACCTATATTGATCAATAATATGGACGTTTGGGGGGAATTTACAGAGAACTTATACAGTAGGTATTTTTAACTACTGGGTACCTATTCTATAATAACAGGGTATGTGCGACCTGCTGATCAATAATATGGACGTTTGGGGGGAATTTACAGAGAACTTATACTTTAACTACTGGGTACCTATTCTATTATAACAGGGTATGTGTGACCTATATTGATCAATAATATGGACGTTTGGGGGGAATTTACAGAGAACTTATACAGTAGGTATTTTTAACTACTGGGTACCTATTCTATAATAACAGGGTATGTGCGACCTGCTGATCAATAATATGGACGTTTGGGGGGAATTTACAGAGAACTTATACTTTAACTACTGGGTACCTATTCTATTATAACAGGGTATGTGTGACCTATATTGATCAATAATATGGACGTTTGGGGGGAATTTACAGAGAACTTATACAGTAGGTATTTTTAACTACTGGGTACCTATTCTATAATAACAGGGTATGTGCGACCTGCTGATCAATAATATGGACGTTTGGGGGGAATTTACAGAGAACTTATACTTTAACTACTGGGTACCTATTCTATTATAACAGGGTATGTGTGACCTATATTGATCAATAATATGGACGTTTGGGGGGAATTTACAGAGAACTTATACAGTAGGTATTTTTAACTACTGGGTACCTATTCTATAATAACAGGGTATGTGCGACCTGCTGATCAATAATATGGACGTTTGGGGGGAATTTACAGAGAACTTATACTTTAACTACTGGGTACCTATTCTATTATAACAGGGTATGTGTGACCTATATTGATCAATAATATGGACGTTTGGGGGGAATTTACAGAGAACTTATACAGTAGGTATTTTTAACTACTGGGTACCTATTCTATAATAACAGGGTATGTGCGACCTGCTGATCAATAATATGGACGTTTGGGGGGAATTTACAGAGAACTTATACTTTAACTACTGGGTACCTATTCTATTATAACAGGGTATGTGTGACCTATATTGATCAATAATATGGACGTTTGGGGGGAATTTACAGAGAACTTATACAGTAGGTATTTTTAACTACTGGGTACCTATTCTATAATAACAGGGTATGTGCGACCTGCTGATCAATAATATGGACGTTTGGGGGGAATTTACAGAGAACTTATACTTTAACTACTGGGTACCTATTCTATTATAACAGGGTATGTGTGACCTATATTGATCAATAATATGGACGTTTGGGGGGAATTTACAGAGAACTTATACAGTAGGTATTTTTAACTACTGGGTACCTATTCTATTATAACAGGGTATGTGCGACCTCTATTGATCAATAATATGGATGTTTGGGGGGAATTTAGAGAGAACTTCTACAATAGGTATTTTAAACTACTGGGTACTTATTCTATTATTACAGGGTACAGTATGACTATAAAACTGAAAAATTGGAGGGAAGATGGAGGGAAGACTTCTGCAGCAAGTAATAAATCAGATGTGATTTTATTTCAAGATGACCTAATTACAAACAAACAGTCAATCTACATTGTTCCTTTATATTTTCAGCGGGTAGCCTATACAACTACAGGGTACATCTGTGCTTTTACTTCCGAACAAAGGTCCAGGTGACAGTATGTTGTCATGGATACTGTTGGCGTCTGAAGACCGTCTCAGCTGTCGCTCACCTCACCAGCTTTACATTACTGGACGCTCGTTATGACATCATGACTCCGCTTGCCGTCGGCAGACAATTCACCACAAAAATACTGGTCGGCTACACAAAACTTAAACTAAGGGAGCATTGCAAAACTCTGTAAAAGTACACTAAAGCATACATTTTCAATCCGTGTATCATTTGTTCTTTCTATTTTCAATTGTCAATCAAAAATCAAAAAATGAAAAAGTGACGGATTATTTTGTTTTTCATTTTTTAATCTAACACAAAAAACGAAAAAATGCCTGGTTTTTCATATTTCAATTTTAGACTCAGATCAAAAATACAAAATGGAAAAAAGGACCACAGGACTGAATCTGATTTTAATATTTAATTGGTCAGGTTTACATGACCCGGAAATGGCTTTGCGCGCGCTGGAACCACACACTACTAGTTTGACACACGCCGAAATTTCCTGCACGTTGCAGCAGATGGGTATCCTGCAATGCTCGGAAATGAGCGTCAGAAGATTCTGTGCTTGGCATGATCTGAGGAGAAAAAGACATATGTCAGACGCAGAGCTGGAGAGCGCTTTGGTTCGATCTATATATGAGGTGAGTTTTCATTCAGATTTCCACAGTGTATTGCAAATATTATATATTATATAGCAAACACTAACAGTAAATGTGTAATCTCGTGACAGACGGGACCATCATATGGCCGGAAGTTCATGACCGGCTATCTGTCTACACTGGGGCTGCATGCGGGAGAAGGTTGGGTTGGAAGAACCCTAAGAGAGCTCCATCAGCCATACCATGAATTCCGGCGTCAGGTGATGCTTTTGCTTTAAAAAGTGCAAATTAAACAGATAATGATAACCACGTGGATACCTCTCACGTATGGGACTAAATTAACAGCTGAGAAACTGACCAACAACATTAAATATACTCCTGAGATTGTTATAGTGACAACAGCAACCCCTACTGATAGGTTTACATGAGTGAGGATATCTGTCTGTCATAACAGTTATCAATTTAATGCTCGATTTTACAGGTTCAACTAATGAAATGGCCCCTAAATTAAAGTCAGGATAATAAACTAAAAGAACTACAATATTTGTACTGGTCATTTTTGTAAATATATACATACAAATTTGCTGTTATAAAAACATTTTATGAAGATGGTGTGCTAATTATTTCATTTTTTCCCCAGGGTGCTCGTAATTTAAATCTAACTCCCTACCATGCTGAATATATGGGTCATAAACTTCATTTAGACCAAAATGAAAAGCTTGGGATGTTTGGTGTTACTCATGTTTTGGCTGTTGATGGCTACAGCAGCAAAATTGTTGGACATTTGACCATGCCAGTGAAAAACAACCTTGTGATATATGAGGATGTATACAGGTGAATATATTCACAACCACCATTATTATTGTCATAACTTTTCTGTTCTGCATTATCTTTTAAATACATACTCTTATTGAATTAGTTAAATTCAGTGCAGTCACGTAAACATTATTTTATTCCAGATCTGCAGTCGTGAACCATGGCATGTGGGACCAAGTTAGGGTTGATCACGGCAGGGAGTTTTACCAGTGTCTTTACATGCAGGAGATGCTGTCAAGATACAGACACAACCTCAGCAGGCCACCATACCTCCAAACCACATCAACAAGGGTGAGGGCTGTGTAAAAGATAATATAAATTATTGGTGCTTCATGCACTGTCACCTTCAGTGTCTGGCCTGGAAAAACATCTACAAAAAATCCTTCATCCCCTGTGCAATAACCACCCTGAACAATCAAAAATGAACACTTGCTGCTTTTAACAGACCCCCTGCTCCTCCTTTTTAGCATGATTGCACCTAAATGTTGTTTTTAACGTTTGTGTTTTTACTGTTTGTTTTTAGTGTTTTTTATACGAGCCTGTCAAAGATGAATTCCTATCACTTGTGCCAGACAATAAAGTTTATCTTATCTTATCTTATAAATCTTGCACACTTAATTAATTGATGCAGATCGTAGACATGCACTGTATATACTGTACATAATCACCAATGTACATCCATTCAGTATTGATTTACATCGCACTATTTGTTTCGATTACAGCTTAACAGCTGACTTCTACTTTTTACTTTTCACGTTTTGTTTGGTGCTTTTATGTGTTCATACTTATTTCTACATACTTTTGTATAATCTCATCTATCCCTTGACTTGATTTGTTAGCCTTACTGTCAATGTTATTATTAGGTAGTTTTATATCAGAAGTAATGTAAAAATGGAGTCAAACTCCTTGTATGTATGGCACATACTTAGAATATTAAGATGATTCTGATTTTCTGCTGTTTTATTTCCCTTTCACCTAAAAACATCATTTGAACTTTTCATCAACAGAACCTTCGAGTGGAGAGGTTGTGGCCAGAGGTGAACAATCATGTGAATTATCCACTGAAATGGGCTCTGGTGCACCTGCTGGATCAAGAGGTTGTGAACATGGAGGACAACCTCACTAGATTCTGCATCTCAAATCTGACATGTCAAGTAAGCCAAATTGGACTTGACAGAGTGGTGGATTCATGGAATGCACACAAGATCCCAGGTATGCTTAACTGATTATTTACACTTAAGAAATATTGATATTTTTTTCCCACTCCCAATCCATCCAACCTAACCAGTACTGTATTGCTTTGATTCCATGTCTTAGGTCATGGAATACCCAATGAACTGGCAGCAGGTGGCTGCCCAGCTAAAGTCTCAGAGGAGCTGCTGCCATGTGCTTCTGTTGTGGCAAACATGTATGAGCAAGACTTGGGATCCTCACAGACTTGGAAGTCTGCTTTTGGAGCTGATCCATTTTCATCTGAAGAGGGCAGATGCCATGCAGAACAGAGCTTTGCAGAGAACTACCCTGACATCCCTCTTCTTTTTAATCATGTGGTAAACAACGAAGATACTCCTTACCAAGATGCTTTAATCTGCCTAATGAATGTGACTGCAAGATATGTCTGAAAACAAAACAGTTTTAGTTGTGCTTTCTCACAACCTGTGGTGTTCTTGAGTAACTGAATAAGCAGACCATTTGGTCTGTTTTTTACATATTGAAAAACCTGGATGTAGTTATTGATTAATATGTTACAAAGCTGCCATGTCCCTAAGTTGTCAGTTGAATAATTTGGCAAATAAAGCTGTATTTTTTTGAACCGTTTTATTTAACCTTTCTAGGCTTACAAAGGCATAGAAAAATATTACAAAAGCATTATAAATTTTATGTTGACTTTGAATTAGTTTGAAGTTGAGCTTGAGACTCAGCTGGAACACAAAAAGCATAGCAACACAAATTACTGAGTCCTTTCTGTATAAAATTCCCAATGTTTCTGGAAAACAGTAAGAAAATATACAACATAAAATAGTGCAAATATGAGGTACTTTGGCTCTTACAACACTGAAAGATGATTTTGCCAAAATAAAATAACACTATGAAGATGCACAAACATTTTTAAAAGTCAAAAGTGCTTTGAATGCAAAAAACATTATTCAAGTGCAAAAAACTGAACAATGACGAACAGCATGAGCACAACTGCATACTGTACAGTTTTACTAGCACAGTATGTTTTCCAGTACAGCCAATGCATAGGACAGTTCGGTGAGTTTTTGTGTATTGATGTCAAAATCACCCGCTCGGCATTTTGGGCAAATTGCAGATTTTTGCTGCCATCCTTCAATGCAGGTCCTGCAGCCAACGATGCTATGGCAGCACGATGAAACCATGGGCTCAACCACTGGACCTGCAAATCTGAATCAGAAAACAATTGTAAAAGTAAAATAAAAATACAGTAATTGCATAAGTGGTTACATTATCATTGGCGTCGGGGTCTATTTTCTTCATGGACATGGGTAGATGAGTTGCACTGACATCTGCCTATAGAAGACAAAACTTTTTTTTATTTACCCTTGCAGACAATACATGCGAAGGCATCTTTCACAGCAGCTGCTTCAGCCTCTGTCAAGGACACTGTTGTTCTTCAGTTGGAACTTGCCAGGTTTGTCAGCTCCTTGATTGTAGTTGACACCTTCCTGTGCTGCCAGGACCACCTCTTCAATTGTATCAAACACTGCATCTAGACCATTATCATCTCGCCGACTGAAAAACAGGCAAAATATACAGCATTCTAAATGCAATAACGCCACCATTGCAACTTCCATTGGTCTGTCAAACTAATTCATACATAATGATTAATCAAAGTCTATCAGTTCATGTAGTCATAGTGATCCTAACTCTCATGCAGTGGAAATTCCAGAGACTTGAATGGCCTATATTGGCAAAAATTCTCACAAAGACGGTCCTCTTCACTTGTTGATTAAGGAGAATAGCCATACAAATATGCCATCATGATGATTGACCAAAAAAATGCTAATCAAGTTTACATACCTCAGTCTCCTCTTTTTGCTTCCTTGTAACTGCTGCAAATCTCCTTCCTTCACAGCACAAACTTTCCTTGCATTTTGCTTCCAAAATGCTGATCCTGAAAAGAAAATAGTTTATTTAGTAGTAGGGGAGAGTGGGGTAATCTGAGACACCCCTGTATCTAGGCAACGGTACACATTTGTGGTCATGTGACTATTATGTTTTCAAGCCCCCCTCATTTCCCCTTGGTCATGAAAGAGAGGACCTCATGGTGCTGTTGTAAGCATGTTTTTTTCACAAAAATATATTTTTTGCAGGTAAAAGTAAATTTTCTTACTGTCAACTTAATCAACTGCTGTGTCAAAGCAAATTGATTTAGGTAGAAAAACTTATACATGTTGATGAACTACCAACATATAAAACCATGTGATGATGCAGGCTGAAGATCAGTCTGAATTGCTAAGAGGGGTCGTTTTTTCTAAAATGGTGGTGGTGGGGTAAAGTGAGACAAATGTGGGGTAAAGTGAGACAGTGTCTACAGTTGTAGAGTAGGGCCTATGACAGTAGGCTGATGTTCTAATCCAATCTTTAGTCCATCATTGCAAGTGTTACATTCTTTGCCATTGTCTGCCGGGGTAACAACATCAGGGTCAGGGTCAGGGACAGGAACAGAAATGTAGCTCTGTGATGGGAGGGGAAGCGGAGCTGGTGGAGGCTGTGGTTAAGTGGAGGATGGGGTGTAAGCTGAAGGCCATCCTGGGTGACCCCCAACATCCTCTACACAAGACTCTCACAGATCAGAGGAGCAGCCGCAGTAACAGGCTCATCTCCCTGACCTGTTCTGGGTCTTTCTGTCATTTGAATGTTAATTAAAACATTTTAAATTATATTATGTTGTATTTGATTTTGTTCAGAGTTACTTTCAAGTGTTTAGAAAAAAAAAGTGCTTAATTGACTAATGCCCATGATTCTGTTACTGGTCCGACATTAGTACTGGAATGTGTGGTTGTCAAGCTAGCTGTCAGGATTCTAACTGTTACAACATGTATTGTAATGGTAGTTTCAGAGTGGAAAAAGTAAGTGGATCACTTTACCCCCTTGATTTCTCTGGTCTGTCTCAGTTTACCCCTGAGCTGGGGTAAAGTGAGACACAAGACCACTTTTTCAAAAACAATCATATTTTCACTGCCCTTCATCCTGAATACATTCTGAAAATTTCTATTGCTAGGAAACATCCTGAATTAATGGGAAATGTGTAAATTTTACTGATATAACATTTTAGCTTGCTTAGAGGGGAGCAAATGTAAAAAGTGTCTCACTTTACCCCACTCTCCCCTACATAAAGTATACAATTTTTCAGAAAAAGGGGTAGTTTTGTTAAAACCAGAGGGTTATAAATATTCATTTTTATTTATTAATTTACCTCTGGTTCCCTCTGTGTCCAAGATCTGGTTTCCCTGACCATCGGTAAGGATGACCTAGTCCTCTTGTTCAAGGGCATCATTTACTTTACTTGTGATGCCCATGACAGAAGCCTCAAATTCCGAGAATCGAACTGTCAGGGTTTTGTTTGTTTCCAATCTGCCATCCGCAAGATCAGCAATGAAGATGGTCCTGAAGATGAAAATAATTTTGAAATTCATTGTACATTCTTGTAATACAAACAGAACATATCAAATTCACAGCAATTGTGATAGATAGATAGATAGATAGATAGACAGACAGACAGACAGACAGACAGACAGAGTCATATTAGCATGATGCGCCTATCTGATGTGTTAAAGTATTTGGTCACCTTTGAAATGTCTTAGCCACGGGTGCTCTTGGAGAGGGCCTTGCTGTTGCAGTTGAAGCAGAGCCATGAACTGAGCCCGCAGCAGCACTTGCTGGTCGGCGGAAGGAGAAGCGGGTAGGGAATGGTCCAGGCACACTGGCTTGCTCCCCCACATTGTCGCTCTCTCCATGCACTTCATAATGTCCCCTTACTGCAAGGTCAACAGTTCTGAATTGACCCTCATTTCCAGGGAATATGGCCATATTGTTATCATCGGTGATGTACAGACTGGAGTTTTGAACCTTTGAAAAAGTAGAGCGAGAGGTTTATAAAAAATGTAGGCTAGGTTACGTTTTGTGGTTACAAGTAGAGTGCAATTTCACAGAAAAGGTTCTTTGTGAAAATATATACCTGGAAAATCCTGCTTATTTTTTCGGTAGTCATGTCCTCCTCCTTTAGGGTGACACGCTTCGCTCCCCGAAACAACACATAACTCTCCATGGCTGATAGGGCTGATGGCTCCTGGCTGCTGGTCAGATCGATAGATCGTTGCGGCTAGCAATGTTTGCTAATGCTCAAAAACTTCCGGGTCACGTAAACCCGACCAATTAAATATTAAAATCAAATTCAGTCCTGTGGTCCATTTTTCCATTTCGTATTTTTGATCTGAGTCTAAAATTGAAATATGAAAAACCAGGCATTTTTTCATTTTTTGTGTTTGATTAAAAAATGAAAACAAAATAATCCGTCACTTTTTCATTTTTTGATTTTTGATTTACAATTGAAAATAGAAAGAACGAATGATACACGGATT